ATGTAAACATGTAATGGCTGAAATTTTTCAGCCGTTACACATTTACCTAAATAAATGCATTTTAACATCCGTAATGGACATTTTAATTCCAGAATAAGAATTCCTTGTGTCTGTTTAGCTTAAGCCCTAAAAAGGAACAAGACACAACTTGGACACTTCTGCTCTAGAGTAAAGTTATGTTTACACTGGGAGTTATATCAGTCAGGAACATGAGTGAAGATTCCCTTGGGGAGCTAGCACCCTGCCCCATATCTTCTAGCTGAGGACACACCCCTGCTCACTTCTATCAGCCTCCTTGTGGGCCTGTCTGGCATGAAAATGGGGTCTGAAAGCTCCAATAGATGGGGCAGAGGCTGAGAGCTCAGTTGGAGTCATAGAAGTGGGCTGAGAGCCTGGAGCTCCTCCTTTATGCCAGGAACCACAACAGTGCAACATCTCTTTCTCTGCAGTCCTGTCCCTGTTCCACCCACAACCTCTGCTCCATAGCACCCTACACTGCCTCTTCCCCCTAAGGCCCTGCCACTCACTCCTATGCACACATGTCCTGCTGCAGCCCCCAAACTAGAAAAGTTTTGTGGCCACAGCAGATATGAGAGCTCCAGCAGTCCTGGGGATGTGGTGGGAGGAGATTTTTTTCAGGACCCCTAAATTAGTTAGGGCCCCTGGGCATGGGCCTCCTGGGCCCATGTTGTTATCTGCCACTACCCCTCCCCCCTCCCCCCCCACCCATGGCAGCACAAGGCTTGGAGAGCCTATCCTAGCCTCCATTACTTTCTGCCTATGGTCAGGAGTGTGGAAAAAAACCAATCCTTTGAGTAACATACATTTCACAGACAGAAGCACCAATGTGGGCAGCTCTACAATATCAGAGGACGTTCTCTCACCAACATAGCTACCAACACTTTTTGGGGGTGGTTTAATTATGTTGACAGGAGAGATCTCTCCCATCAGCATAGAGCAAGCTACACAGGAAATCTTATAGCAAAAAAGCCATCTCCCTAGTCAACAAAAGTTTTACCAACAAAAAGTACCAGTGGTGACAGTGCTTTGTCAGTGGGAGATGCTCGTCCAATGGCAAAGCTACCACCACTCATTGGAGGGGGTTTGTTGTTGTTGTTGGCAGGGGAGCATTCTGCTGCTTTAAGGAGCGACTGCACTGTATATGTCACAACACCACAGCTGTACTAGCACAGTTGTGCACTATAAGGCATGCAGTGTAGACAGAGCATAAGTGTACATTGTTCCTGTTTAGGATTTAAGCTTAATAAAGAAAAGGCATTTTATTGTGGAATAAGAGTGTCCATACATGGAATTAATTAAGAACAACTTCATGAACAAACAAGACCTAACAGTGATCAGCACTTATCACTTATCTAGGGCTAACATACATAACATGCTTGCAATAAACCTATGAATATATTCAGTTGTACAGGCAAAGCATTCTTACTAAAACATAACACTACTCTAAAACCAAATAAAGAACACTTACTCATCTTTCTTAACTTTCTTCTTATGTTTATCTTTATTTCTATGTTTTTCCTTCTTTTCCTTGTTCTTTTGCATTTCTGTGTCCTTTTTCTTTTCCTTTTTACCTTCAGACTTGCTAAAAATGGATTCAAATGTTAGTTTTACAGATAAACTAAAATGATAGTTTGCAAATAATTATCTTCTGCAGTATAATATTATTGTCTTACCTCTTCTTTTCTTTTTTCTTTTTCTCCTCTCTAAAAAAGAAGCAATATTTCTGTGACAGGCTTTTGGGATGCATGTAACTATTATTTCCACTATTTTTCCTATTAAAATCTGTTGAGTTCTATAAATCTACCTACATATTTAATTATTTTTACCCTTGATTAAAACCTTTTATATCGTTTTCAACTATTTCCATTTTTGTATGATTAAGTGGGACATTAATAACTTTTGTGTTATAAAAACATTGGCTGTGCATACAGTTCAGACGTTCATGTAATTTCTTATTCAATTACTTGTATGATACAATAATTTGCAAAGAAAGGACTGAGTGTATTGCATTTGTTGCTACTTTTTACACTACAAATAACTTTATACAAAAACTGTAGAGTACTTACTCATCTTTATTACTGTTGTTGTTAACATTGTACTGTGCAAAGGCACTAGGTTGGCACTGTTCCCTAAGAAACAGTAAAATAAAATAGTTATGTCTGCTGAATGATACTAAATAAGCTAGCAAGTGTAAAATAGTCCTTTAATGTAAGGTTTACTACTGCATAAGTTAGTTAAGATTGCCTAATTGTTTTATAAGTGTAGAATGAAAATATTCACCAGTAAATATATAGATGAAGAAAACCGTTGAAATGTTGTTTATGTCTCTGTTTTGCATTCCTGGAGTTTCAATACTTTTGAAAAGAAAAGAGGTGAAATCTTGGTACCATTCAGACAATGAGGAATTTTGCCATTGGCTTCACTGGAGTCAGGATTTTACCAATGATGTTTACCCCATTAAATGCCTGTGTGAGGCTGGCAGACGTTGGTCATCTGCGGGCAGAATCAAACCTGGGACCTCTGGTGTTTAGGACATGAGCCTCTATCATATGAGCTAAAAGTCAGCGAGCTGATAGCTAAGGATGTAGAACAGACTTATTATTCTCTTTGTAAGTGGTGTCAGTGCCACTATATGAGACAATACACCACACCAGACGGACTGTGGGTTCCACCTGACCACCATGGATCTGGTTTTTAAACTGCAGGGCTGTGTCTAGACTGGCAAGTTTTTCCGGAAAATCAGCCGCTTTTCCGGAAAAACTTATCAGCTGTCTACACTGGCCGCTTGAATTTCTGGAAAAGCACTGACAATCTCATGTAAGATTGTCAGTGCTTTTTCAGAAATACTATGTGGCTCCCGTTCAGGCACAAGTCTTTTTCCGAAAGACTTTTGCGCAAAAGGGCCAGTGTAAACATCACAGTACTGTTTTCCACAAAAAAGCCCAGATCACGAAAATGGTGATCGGGGCTTTTTTGCGGAAAACCGCGTCTAGATTGGTCATGGACGCTTTTCTGCAAAAAGTGCTTTTGTGGAAAAGCATCCTGCCAATCTAGACGCGCTTTTCCGAAAATGCTTTTAACGGAAAACTTTTCTGTTAAAAGCATTTTCAGAAAATCATGCCAGTGTAGACGTAGCCCAGGTGTCTTAGTAGCTTCTAAGGTATTCCATATTTAGGCATGCAAACGGACCATAGGAAGTAGTAGTTAGAGTGTAGTTGTTTGCACAATTAACTGATAAGCCTGGGCACCACCACCCCCTCCTTGCCGCTTTTGTATCAGAGGCAGCAATGTGGGGAGGTGGGAGCCGGTGCCCATGGGGAGCCAGCTTTTAAGCTGGCTCTCTACATGTGATGGGTCCTGTGGAGCTGCCTGCCTCCCCCACCTGCTGCCTCTCTATAAGACAGGAGACGATATATTCAGGGGGACAGCTTTTAAACTGGCTGTGTGTGCATGCCAGCTCCATGGAGCTGCCTCTCCCCCACTTGCTGGGGCAAGCAGTGACAGGGGGGCAGGCGGAAGCCAGTGCTCAGGGGGAGCCAGCTTAAAAACTAGCTCCTCCTGAGCCTGTTAGTTAACAACCCTACTGCCTCTGCTAGAGAGGCAGCAGCACAGAGGATGTGAAGAGGGGTGCGCAAGTGGGAGATGGTATACGCAGCGAGCGGACTTTTAAACTGTCTCTCCGTGAATGATGCTTTCACTGAGCCATCTGTCCCCTGCCACCTCCCACTGAGACAGCAGTACAGGGTGGCAAGAGGGAGCCAGTGCTCTTGAGAGAGAACTTAAAAACCAGCTCCCTATGAGCACCAGAGCCACCTGTCTGTCTTCCTTCCCCTCCCCCGTGCTGCAGCCTCTAATAAAGAGGCAGCAGTGCAGGGAGTGGGGGCAAGGCGGAAGTTGGTACATGTGGGAAGCAGCTTTCAAGACGGTTCCTCTAGGGTGTATCAGAAAGAGGCTGCAAGGGTGGGGGGAACGAAGGGAATGCTTCAAAGCAGCAGCACCACATGGAGCCTGGGGCCAGACTCTGGCCTCCATGCAGCACTGCCACTTTGAAATGCTGCGTGCAACCCTGTACCACCTGGGGTATCCCAGCCTGCACACAGCATTTCAAAGTGGCAGCACCACGTGGAGCCCAGGATCAGTTGGAGACTACCTGCTCCTCTAATCCCGGGCTTCCTGTGGCATTTTAAAGCAGCGTGGAGCCTGGTGTCTGGCCTTAGGCTTCAAGTGGCTTTGCTGCATTTAAGTACCCCCTCCTAGGGCTGTTGCTATACTTCAAAGGCAGAGGCACCCTATCAACTAATCAAATAGTGGATGCAAAAATGCATTGAGTATTCCATTAGTCAATATTTAACATCCTTAATCAGCTCCCACAGAGCCACCTGTCCCCCATGCTGCTACCTTTTTATCGAAGGGAGCAGGGGGAAGCAGGCAGAAGCTGGCTTAAAAGCTGGCTCCCTGCAAGCACTGGCTCCTGCCTGCCCCACTGCATGTAAACATGTAACCAGTAAATTTCCACTGGTTACAAGTTTATACAATTACACATTAGTTAACAACCCTACTGAACCATTTTTTAATGACTGAGCAAACTGAATGCACATATAGGGAATCTGGTTGTATTATCAAGGTCCCTGTGTTTTAAAATTAGGCCCTATCCATTAATGTTGCACCTAATCAAAAAAGATTTTATTAAAATTAGATACAATAAAATTATTTTGTTGCATAAAGTGAGATTCCAAAATAAGCAGATAAAAATCCACCTAAGTAGGATCATATGGACAAAGTCAAAGATTTGATATGTTCCCCACACAAGGAGCACAAGACTCACATGATTTCTTCTGCTATCTTATCACAGTGATTATGATTATTACAATTATTGCTCCATCTTGGTTGTGGACCTTGAATTTTTTCCAAGAAAGAGTCTGGGATTTGGCAGCCTTCATTGGAAATCCTCTTGTCCCACTTCTTTAAGGTATTCAGAAAGTGGGGTATTCTAAAAGTAGATACAAATACTAGTTAAAGAATTTTTTTAAATAAGTGTAATTTCTTTGTGGGGAAAAATGAACCTATATATTGAACCCAAATGTCACAATAATTACTGTAATCAACTACCAGGAACAAATCTGGCACCATGACATAGAATTAATCTAACTAATGATTACTGCTGAGAGATTCTCAGTTGCTTAGATTTGAGGGCATTCCTTCCAAAATATCTATAGGTTGGACCTTCCTGGTCCAGCACCCTTGGGACCTGATCGGTTCCAGACTAGAGGATTTGCAGGATCAGGGGAGGTCCCTCCCCTCATGGCCTGTGCTGATCCACTGCCCCTGGGCTAGGGCTCCAGCCCAGCCCCACTGCTGCCAGACTCTAGCACCAGCCCCCTTCTGCCTCCCCGGCTGGAGCTCCGTGGCCACTGCTGGTGTACCATGGCTGGAATTCTGCAGCTGGGGCTGAGCTCCCTGTCTGGGACCAGGGACAGAGCTCCCTGGCTGCCTACAGGGCCAGAGCTCCGTGGCCACTGCTGGCCCTGTTACTGACCAGCTGCTGGAGCCAGCACACTCTGCCGTGCCACCTGCCCTCACTCCTGACATGGGGCTCCCAGCTGAGTCACTGGTCCTCACTGTAGTGCTGCTACCAGACCTCTCTGTTCCTGGGCTCTGTAGTCCTGCTGGACCATGGATGTTGCCAGACCAGAAAGTACTGGTTTAGGGGCGAGGAGTCCTGTGGCACCTTATAGACTAACTGAAGTGTAGGAGCATAAGCTTTCGTGGGCAAAGACCCACTTCGTCAGATACATGCATCTTCGTCTTTGCCCACGAAAGCTTATGCTCCTACACTTCAGTTAGTCTATAAGGTGCCACAGGACTCCTCGCCCCTAAACCAGTACTTTCTGGTCTGGCAACATCCATGGTCACCTGTACTATATGTTTTAGAGAGTTTGTTTAAATATGAGCGAGATTACCAAAATATCTCCCTAAACTTGTATAAATAACTGGATACATAGATAAGTAAACAACTAAATATGTAGACATACTAAATGTAGACATGTGCTAAATGTGGATCTCTGGGATGTAACTCACCCCTGTAGAATTCTTTTCACTGCCTGTGAGTTGTTTGTGGAACCACTACAGCTGCCCCCACGCTCCTGTGTTTGTAATATGGATAAACCATCATACTCTACAGCCAAGGACCTATAATTAAACAGTATGTACAGTGAATAAATTATCTACTGTACTACAGCAACAATTCATAAATAGTGGTCCCCAGGAATGATTTACTTGTGTTTTATCTCTAAACATTAAAGTTGCATTAACATTATTTTTTGGTATGTTTTTTTATTATTTGTAAAGCACTGAGAGTGTGCTAGATACTGTACTAAATACAGAAGAACTTTCAGTAATTGTCCCCATATACTGTACTCACTAATCCTGCAGAAAATACAAATCTAAGGTTCCAACCTTGCAAATTCAGTGGAACTATCCACATGTGTAGAGATAAGAGCATGCATCTTTGCAGGTTTGGGATTAAGTTGTGGAGTTACATCAAGAAGAAAATGTACCCCTATATTAGTGTGCATTGCTTGATCATAGGATGTTCTCATGGAATTCATGGTGCATTCTTTAGTGAACTAGATAGTCTATTTAATAGCAGAAGGAATAATATTTGTACAAAATGAAGATAATATGTCTATTGAGTGCCTCCTCCAGCCTATTAATGGGAACTTTAAGCGCAAATTTCTGAGGGAGCACTGTTCATTTCACTTTAATATTTGGGGTCCAATTTTTAGACCACCTTCCTAATTTGCAGCTACACCAGACATGCACTTGTACAAATTGGCTAGTTACATATTCCTCAAGCAAAACTTGCATACACAATTTTGTGCTGAACATCTGTAAATCCCATTGAAATCATTTGGACTTGCTGCAGATGCTCATCAGACCACATTTATTTATTTGTCTAAACACAGATGTCTTTAGGCACTCAGATTTGAAAAATGTAGTCACATAGTGTGCATCTAGACAGAAGGGCTTAACTCGAAATAAGCTACGCAAATTGAGCTATGTCAATTGCATAGCTTATTTCAAAATAGGGAGCATCTACACAGCTCTTATTTTGAAACAGAACACTCTTCCTCCGACTTCCCTTACTCCTCGTACAATGAAGATTACAGGAGTCGGAATACGAAGTCCTCCAGCTTGCCAGTATTTTGACATTATTTCAAAATAACTGCCTGCTGTGTAGATGCGGACTAAGTTATTTTGAAATAACATTGCTGTGTAGAAGTACCCATAGTAACTTGTTTATAAACAAACCGCAGACTATAATGTGATTTCAGTGGAAGCTCCAGGTGTTTAGTACCTCTGAATATCAGAATATGCTTTATTTAGAAGCCAAAATATGGATGGAGGTGTCTAAATTTGGGCAGCCAAATATAAAAGAACTAGCCTATGAGCAATCATAATTTGTTGTTCCCTTTTTGGGGGGGCTATATGATCTATCATCTGTGTCAGAGGATATTTTTTCAGCTCCCTGCTTTGAGGAGACTAAATTTGGGCAGCCAGATATGAAAGTATAAACCTGTGAACAATCACAATTTATTATTCAGTTTTTTTGCCATATGATCAATCATCTGAGTCACAGGGTATTATTTCAGCTCCCTGCTTTGAGGCAGCAAGTTGCAGACGCTTGAAATAATTCCCTTTTCTATCTTTAAAATTATCTACAAACATTTTTAACTATGTGGTAGTTCTTTACAAAAAAGTTTTTCAAAATGGCCTTCCTAGTGTTTAATGCTCACATATATTTATTCAGAATACTATTCCATCTTGCTTAGCTTTCAGTGGACTTCTTCTGAATAAAAAACAGCTCTGTTCAACAGCTACAAATAATCAGATAAAAAGGGTTGTGAATGCCAACAAAGAGGGATTAACTCACAATTATATTTTTGCAGTATTTTCCCAACTCAAGCAAGAGGTACTTTGCTGAATGGTGAAAACTTGGTAATGACTGTTTGAGTGTATTTTTGACTAGTTGAACTCATTCTTAAGGAAGTAAAATCATTTGACTAACAAATACAGTTACATTTTATATTATCCTAATTAATTACAATGGACAATGTATCACAGGTAGGTTTAGCCTTTGATAGAATAGCCTTATGAACAGAAGAGAGAAGACAACAAGACAGGGACAAACATCTGTTCCTCTGTCATTCCCATTGAAAACTAATACAAATGAAAACATCCTGAGAACAGACTTTGACCTAATTACTATACTTGACTTACCTGCTGTCTCCATTCTCTATCCTTCCTATGCCTTCATCAGCATTTTGTACTGCCAGCCTGGGAACATTTATATAGGAATGATGGGTGTTAATCACGCCAATCTTCATGATCAGATTTGTATTCCTTGGGTGAGAGAGAAGGAATCATTTCAAAATGGGGGGAAAAAGTACTTTTGTGGTTCTGTACAAAAATAAACCTTAGAATGCCTGACTTTTACATGTTACCTGCTCTTGGGCAAAGAGTAGAAAAATGATCATAAAAAGTAGAGAGATGCAATTTATACATTGAGCCCTTTGTTCCTGAATCATAATACATCTAGGCTACGTCTACACTGGCACGATCTCGCGCAAAAACTCTTTAGTGCAAGAGTTCTTGCGTTAAAGTAGATGTGCAAGAGAGCGTCTACAAGCATGTGCTTTTGCGCAAGAGATGTGCTTTTGCACAAGAGTATCCATGCCAGTGTAGATGCTCTCTTGCACAAGAAAGCTCTGATGACCATTTTAACCATAGGGCTTTCTTGCGCAAGAAATTCCTGTTGCCTGTCTACACTGGCCTTTTGCACAAGAACAGTTGCACAAAAGGGCTTATTCCTGAGTGGGAGCATCATAGTTCTTGCGCAAGAAGCCCTGATTTCATACAATAGAATGTCAGTTTACTTGCGCAAGAACACACAGCCAGTGTAGACAGGCAGCAAGTTTTTGCACAAGAGCAGCCGCTTTGGCGCAAGATCATGCCAGTGTAGACACAGCCCTAGATAACAGGAGGCAGAATCAAGAAAAAAAATTGTCTTCCACAAATGGGACCATTCAAATAAAAACAGAAATGTAATAAGACATAATTGTGTGCTTTAAGAATCTTAAGCAAGGCTGCTTTGTAATGTAATTCTAGGTATATGGATATGATTTACATATATGTATGTATAATTCAATAAAAACACATGTAACACATAATCTCGATTCACATTACAACATTAAAGTCTAGCACTGTAGTTCCTTACAAGCATGTAGCTCTCTCAGGGTTCATCTACACAACACTGTAACTCGAAATAAGACAAGTGATTTGAGCTACACAAATTGTGTACCTTATTTTGATGCTATTTCAATATAGATTATTTCGTCATTTGGCACTGTCTATGCAGTGCCAAATATCAAAATAAAGTGCTATTCCAAAATATCCCTTATTCCTCATAGAATGAGGTTTACAGGGAAATTGGAATAGTGAGCCTGAAATTATAGGCTTGCTGTTAAGACCTGGGATAACTATTTTGGGATAATCCGATATCCCAAAATAGTGCTGCAGTGTAGATGTACCCTCAGGAGTCAGTGGAAGTTCTGTGTATGTCAGTAGTTTGGCTTCAGGTTTAATATTTGACTTACCCCAATGAACACTGGAAAATATTAAGAATTGTTAAGTATAAAAATATGTCAAGCACATACCCTATTAGAATAATAAATGGCAAAGGCATTCTAGCTGAAGCATACCCCCCGCCTCCTCCTTCCCTCCTCCTTCCATTTTTCATAGACACTTGTCATATCTTGCCTGTGGTTAGATTGCAAGCATGTCAGGGCAAAGGCTGTGTCTTCCTATGTGTCTGTACAGCACCTAGCACAAGTGGGCCCTGCTCCTGATTGGTGCCTTTACCTGCTACTGCATACAATTAAGAAGTAATAAGAGAAAAAGACTGATTAAGAGAATATGAGCAAGGCTGTCCTTAGGAATACGCAGCTGTGGGGGGCACTACTAAATTCAGGGCACCACTGATGCTGCCTACGGCCACCACTAGAAGGGGACATCAAACAGGTAAGGCAGGCAGCTCTGGCTCTGGCAGACACATTGCCCAGCCCCTGTAGACTGTGCCCAGCATTGCTCACTCTCTTCACCTTGCTGGAGCTAGGAGCAAGGCCATGTTTCTGAGTGGGTGGGACCCAGACAGGGCTGGAGACCAAGACTGGGGCCACAGCTGGGGGCAGGCATATGTCTGGGAGTGGAGCACTGGGAAGCAGCAAGGAGCCCAGCCCAGGGGCTGATGGCTGAGTCCTGAGTGGCAGTCAGGACTCCACATAAAATTTAGTATGCTGCGACATGCCCCCAGTTCCTGCATCTAAGCCTCCCTGTTCTGCTTCCACTCTCTGCAGCAGTCCTGAGAGCAGCTCCCACCACTCCTGTGGCATGGCCACTCATCCCCCACCTGCCTGTAGTAAGTTGAGGGTCTGTAACATAAAATCAGCAGGCCTGAGATCTAGTGAGCAAGACTTTGGCTCAGTGAAACTGCAAGCAGGGAAGAGGTAGGGCTCAAGAGAAATAGTACAAGCAGGATCAAGCATAAAGAACACCAAAAGGTGCCATCACAGACCTTAAAACACATTCCAGAGGGGTGATATCAGAACACCTCATTAAGAAACATCTTGGTACCAACCACCTTCCCACAAAAAACATACATACCAACTTAGGTTCAGGACCAGGTCTAAATTGACAGCATGAAGAATAGCAAGTAAACCCCCCTTGTGTGAGGTAAGGGGTGGTAACTAGGCAACAGAGGGTGGCAACCCGATACGTCAGGAGTGACATGTAATTTGTTTGAACGTGTGTATAAAAGTGTACCCCAAAGGGTGATCGTCAACTGACCATGGTGGGAGGGAGTTACTAAAATCCAGAGCATTTAGTTGGATGCTATTCCGTTGTCATGGCTTACATAAGGGCTGTGTCTAGACTGGCCAGTTTTTCCAGAAAATCAGCCGCTTTTCCGGAAAAACTTGCCAGCTGTCTACACTGGCCACTTGAATTTCTGCAAAAGCACTGACTTCCTACTGTAAGAAATCAGTGCTTTTTGCGGAAATACTATGCTGCTCCCATTTGGGCAAAAGTCCCTTTTGCGCAAAACTTTTGCACAAAAGGGCCAGTGTAGACAGCTGAGATTTGTTTTGCGCAAAAAAGACCCAATTGCGAAAATGGTGATTGGGGCTTTTTTGCGCAAAAGCGCGTCTAGATTGGCCATGGACGCTTTTCCGCAAAAAGTGCTTTTGCGGAAAAGCGTCCGTGCCAATCTAGACGCTCTTTTCCGCAAATGCTTTTAACAGAAAACTTTTCCGTTAAAAGCATTTGCAGAAAATCATGCCAGTCTAGACATAGCCAGGGTGTAGTGACACAGCAGCAAGTGTGTTCACTGACAATTATTATTGTAGGTCGCATGGCATTAAACCTACTTGGGTGCGTTTGATCCTTATCTCATTTGTGGTCTCTGGGGGCTCTCTCAGGAGTCTGTCATGTTGACTAATTGCGCATGGTTAACATGCTAGACAGGAAAGCAAAACAATGCATGCACGCAGCCAAAAGTTTATCATCATTGACGGAGTAGAGGACCTGTCACCAACCCATCGGGACAACCCCAATCCTGACTTACGACACTGCCTTTGCATAGAACACCATAAATTTTAAGGACAGACCGGGATAAGAAATTAGAATCTAGGTTGAGTATAAAACATAAATTGCAAAACTAAATGTAGTTCACTCACCTACGTACTATAACTTTAGGATAGATGTAAGGGAGCTGATTCTTTTCTCAGTATGGTATAAATCAGGAATACATCTAGGCTGTGTCTACATTGGCACCCTTTTCCAGAAAAGGGATGCTAATGAGACACTTCAGAATTGCAAATGCCGCGGGGGATTTAAATATCCCCCGCTTCGGAATTGCAAATTCCGTGGGGGATTTAAATATCCCCCGCGGCATTTGCATGAACACGGCTGCCGCTTTTTTCCGGCTCGGGGTTTTGCCGGAGAAAAGCGCCAGTCTAGACGGGATCTTGCAGAAAATAAGCCCTTTTCCGGAAGATCCCTTATTCCTACTTGAAAGTAGGGATCTTCTGAAAAAGGGCTTATTTTCCGCAAGATCCCATCTAGACTGGCGCTTTTCTCCGGCAAAACCCCGAGCCGGAAAAAAGCGGCAGCCGTGTTCATGCAAATGCCGCGGGGGATATTTAAATCCCCCACGGAATTTGCAATTCCGAAGTGTCTCATTAGCATCCCTTTTACAGAAAAGGGTGCCAGTGTAGACACAGCCCTACTGAAGTTAATGGAATTATACTAGTTTTAAACTGGTGTCAGTGGCAGAAGAATCAGGTCCAATATCTTTGTCCTGTTAAAAAAATAGGATGGAATCCTGGTCCTTTAAAAATAAACTTTGCCATTGACTTTTTTCATTCTTAATGCTTTCCTAGCAGCTCACTATACCCAGCATGATATCCAGTTGCTTGTCCTGAGCATTTTCAAATTTGTCTAAATGCACAATTTCTGTCAGCCTATTAGTTTGAATTTGAAAGGCAAAAGCATCTGGAGCTGCATGAAGTTGACAGTTTTGAAACTGCCTGTAACTGACATAAACAATTGTTTTAAAAAGACATATTTATGATTTGCTGTGCTGGTGTAAAGTACAATAAAATGCCATGTATCTGCTAAAATCAATAGGAATATGATGTATTTTTGGTGGATTATGTCTTTGTGTTATCCAATGAAAGTGAAGCCACTTGTCTAACCTATTTCATCTGGGAGATCTGAGAGGAAACTCTATTTCCAATAAGTAGTCAAATAGGCAGTGCATGCAAGTTGTGCAGACATCTATTGCAGTCCATAAAATAAAAAGATGACAATTGTATGCTAACAACAGTAACAAGTATCATTCCATTATATATTGTGAGAGGTTGCTGTCAACCTTTAAATTGGCTAATGGTAGGACTTGATTATAAGTAGGTAGTCACAGAAGAAAAACATTTTCAAGAGCTTATAAATCAGTCAACCATGGCATAAGTGCTGGAAGGAGGATTTTCACTGGATTGCTGCAGCAATAAACAATGTCGGAGGGCCTTAAGGATTGAAACTACACCAGCTGTATTAAATAACTATCTCCATACACAAATGAGGCAATATCAAAAGAAGGCAATGTTAGCATCCAAAGGCAGCTCTGATTCACCTCCAGTTCAGCCACTCTCTAAAGAAGCTATACCAAAAGACTCAATCTGGACTATTAGTGTGAATTAAAGCTGTGTATCTTCCTGGTCAAACTCAGTACAGGAAAAAGGGAGAAACACTGTTAACAGTGGAAATCTCTTTTTTAGCAAAATTGACTGTGGGCAGAAAAAAAGGAATTGTGGAGAGACTGAGCAAGAACCTTTGGCATGAGGGAGAGATTGGGAAATGGCAATAGGGGGAGCTGGAAATCAGGCACACACAGCCCTTGGCATGTGTCAGGAGAGTTGCACCAGGAGATGGGAGGGTGGAACTCAGGTCACATGGAAGGTGTAGGGTGAGACAGTTGGAGGAATGTAAGGAGCATCAGTGTGTGCAATACATTCAATCAGCAGAAGCTATAAAGTGTACAACTGAGATATAATTGCATAAAGCTGCCCATTCAAAGTTGAGATGCTATAAAATTGTTGCATTCAGAGTGTCACTCACACTGGTGTGGATCAAGCCCTCAGCTGAAGTCCCTTTGTGTGATAAAATTGCACAGAGTGGGCAGGGGACTAATCTAAACCTATGTTAACTATCCAACAAAAAGTGTAGACATACCCTGAAACCCCTTCTTCTCCAGCCTGATAGTCCTGGTCTAACTGGTGTGGTAATTCATACACATGGAAGTGGAAAGGACATGGCACCCAACAGCCCCAAATTAGTGGGCCAGAATTTGGATCGAAATAGTGCAGGGCCAGGTTGTTTCCCCTGTCTTCAAATTATATTAGCATTAAAGAATATTTTTTATAATTTCAGAAGCTAAAGACCACAAATTCAGAAGCCCAAAATTGTACTGTGGAAATGACAAAACATAACTGTTTGCATATATGTGAGCACACAGGCAAGGTTCTTGTGATTTATGAGTGTGGTGTTTCTTTTTGAGCACTTGTGGCTCAAAATCCCTCTCGCTACTGAAGTTATGTTAAACAAAATATTTGGACTATATTAATTACGTTAATACAGCTTTTCCTTATTCTCTAGCTACACAATTTTAAATAAAAAATCATGTTAGCACAAATTGTTAGTCACTGTTACCTTCTAGCCCATTCCACAACAATAGATTACAATATTTAGGAAGTTAGAATTCAAGGTAGTGCAAATGAACTTTTTCTTTAGAAATATTTCACAATTATTAACATGTCATGGATTTCACAAATAATCTGACTCCATGCATTCTCTTTTTAAAAAAAATAAGAGCGATGACAAACAGATAAAGGTCCAAATTTTTTTACAAAACGTTATCAATTGTAAGGCAAGAGATGTAAGTTGCAAGAAAACAAAGAAAAGCATTATTCATTCTCAGAATTGTAATAAATGAAGGATCAGCAGATTCGTCTGCGGTGCTTTTTTGCATTAGCCAGTCCTTATTGGCACAATGGTCCAAATTCACCCCTGCTGTATTCATACTCACTTCAGGGATGTAGTGACTTCAATAAGATACAACAGGGATTTGGCCCAGTGTGTCTATCTGCTTATTTTTAATCACTGAAGAACAACATACAAAATATTAAATTGCATTACGTTAAATACTGTGTTGTGACAAAATCTCTAGCTTTTGCCCTCTAGAAAATAGGATACATTTAAAATAAAGCAATTTTTTTAAAGTAAGTTTAAAAACCAGACTCTCCAATATTGTTATCACAAGGTGTTTTGCTATTGTGGATGCTTACCTTGGTAATGTAATCTACTCCTAGTAATGATTGCAGTTCTTTAAGTCATCCGCATTTCCACATTGAAAGTAAACAATGAAAATCCAAACACAATCAACATTTCAGGTTATTAATTTCCTTATTCTATGGGTAGTTGAATGGTACTTCTGTATTATTCCAAGACTAGACCTTAGAAAAGGCTTTCCTTGACCTAGTGCTGGATTTTGAGATTTAGAGACAGATGGAAGTGACAGTGACAGTCACCATTATCCCTCACCTGAGCAGAAGCTTATGAATACTTTGAATATGCATGGGATTTGACAAAAACTAATGAATAATGTTACATAGCAATATTGTCTCATGGTATTTTTATTATTTTTATTTCAGATTTCATACATTATTAATGTACTAGGTCTTTCACCAGAATAGATATGGTTTACTGTTTATTCTTTCATATTTTATTAAATAGCTTAATAATAATTACAGTTTTAATCGATTTGGAAACTTCTCAGTCAAACTAATACCAGCTTTGTAAGGCCACATATACACAGCAGAGCTAAAGCTAAAATAAGCTATGCAACTTGAGCTACGGCACTTGCATAGCTGAAGTTGAAATAACTTATTTTGGCTTTTGGTGCCGTCTATAAAGCAGGGAGTCTGAGTTAGAACACCTTTCCTCCAACTTCCCCTACTCCACATAAATTAAGGGTAACAGGAGTTGGAGAAAGAAGTCCTCCAGCGTAACATTATTTCAACATTATGTCTATGCTTGCTGTATAAACTCAGACTATGTTACTTTGAAATAACGTCAGTTATTCCAAAATAAAGCTGGTGTGTAGACATAGCCTAAGACAGGGCTACTCAACTTTGGAAGCCCCAGGGGCCACAATGATACTCACAGCACATGCTGAGGGGCACAATGCAAATATCTTCTTTCACACAATGCCCCGGCATTCCCAGCACCTCCTTGTTGAGGGCTAGAAATGTTGACACCCTGTACTCATCTGTTCCAGCCAGCCTGTCAGCTTGCATCTTTCAATGCTCACCCTGCCTGGGAGACGCTGTTGTGAAGTGTGTTCCCAGTGGAGGCCATGTTCAAAGGATCCCACCTGTGGGCTGTGTATTGAGCCCCATCTAAACACAAACTGCGCCGTGGGCCACAACCAGGCTGCATGTGGAGTAGCCCTGGTCTAAGAGACTATACTGTCTCCTTGTGGTGCTTAAAATAATTATAGAACGTTTCATATATGTTCAGTGGAAAATGTTGTTTATAACTTATTTCTTGGCAATTCCAAGGAAAAAATATTTTAGCTATCAGATAGAGAAAAGCTATTAATAGAAATCACCTTGCTCTTAGGTTCTGAAAAAAGACAATCTCACATAGATTTATGTCATCAGAATATAAAACTGTGTCAAAACATAAAACTGACACAAGCTGACAAGAAAGCATGATTTGTTAAGTCACTCAGATAGATGCCAGGAGACCTGATTCAGATCCTGCCTTTGCCACAGGTTTCCCTTCTACTTTTCCCTTAGGGCTCAATTCACAATTTCCCTGAGGGCACTTTCAGTATGTCTAGGCAGGACTTAAGTCAGATGAGCCTGGGTTAGAGAACACAGGATTTGAGCATTTACATTCATTTTTAACCTTACATGAGGGATTTTCTAATGCCAGGCTTGAACATGGGACCATGGCAACCACAATGTAGCACACAGGCCCAACTCAAACCAACCATATCCCAAGCTCCCTACTGCCACTCCAAAGTGTGACTGCTCTAATTCTTTGATCATGTAGTACTGTGGGGAAACTTGACTGTTCACCCTGCACATCACAAGAAGTTTGAACAGCCCACCAACACATGCTGTTAAGCTGTCATTTTGATCTATGTGCACCCTACGTGCAGAGCCAGCAACATGGGAAGGCACCGTTTCAATAAGTTTTTGCTTGAGCTTTCAATCCCATGTCAGGAAACAGGTAGTTTCCATGAGATGCTGGTGAACATTTTGGTGGCATATTCTAGCCCACCAAAGGTACTTGACAGATCTTATGAAGAACTAGGAGGAAAAAGACACAGACATGGCAGACTCAAAATGGCTGATACTATTCATGACACTGAGTATGGTCACAGATGTCCCCTGTGTATGTCATCTGGAGCAGAACCACAAGCACAGACTGGTGCAACCACACCATCATGCAGATTTGGGATGACCAACAGATGTCCAGAACTTTCGCATAAAGAAAGCTATGTTCTGGAGTTTTGCAAGGAGCTTATCCCAAGCCTCCAATTAAAGACATGTGCATGAGGACAACCATCCTGGTCCAGAAGTGGGTTACTACAATAATCTCAAAACTGCTACCCCAGGCTGCTATAGACCCTCTGCCACCCAGACTGGTGTTGGAAAGATGACTACAGATAAAATGGTGGCATAGGTTTCTGAGACTATCAGGTTTACCTCAAAGAGGCAAGCATAAGAGATATTCTTCATATTCCTAATTGCTGGCTTTAAAAGAATGGGGGTTTCAAACTGTACTAGCACTACTGATGAGACTCATGCTCATAGTTTGCCCTTCTCAAGGAACATGAATACATAAACCTCAAGAGGTATTACTCCATTGTTGTACAAGCTCTTATGAGCCAAAAAGGTTAGTTTATAAATGTTAATGTGAGATAGGGATGTTAAATTGTGGGTAATTGACTAACTGAATAGTGGATGCATTTTGCATTCACTATTTGACTAGTTGATAGAGCATTTCCACCTTTGAAGTATAGAAACAGCCCTAGAGGGGTTGCTATACTTTAAAGGTGAACATGCCACATGGAGCCTGGGGTCAGCTGAGGACTCCCCACTGATCCCATGCTCTGTGCGATGCTGCCACTTTGAAATGATGTGGAGAGCCTGACTTCAGACTCCCACGGTGGCCTTTCAAAGAGACAATGTCGCATGGAGCCAGGGATCAGCTGGGGACTCCCCAACTGAGCCCAGGTTCCATGCGGTGCTGCCACTTTGAAATGCTGAGAGGAGCCTGATGCTAGGCTCCCGCGGCAGCATTTCAAAGCAGCAGCACTGAATGAAGCCTAGAGTCTGGACCCAGGCTTCAGGTGGCCCTGCCACTTTGAAGTACTTCCTTCTTTCTTCTCCCCTTGCTGCCTCTTTCTGATAGAGGCATCAAAGGGGGCGGGGAGAGCAACTAGTCGACAAACTTGTCGACCATCCGATAAGCATTTGCTTATCAGATAGCCAACTAGTTGACTAGTCCTTCACATCCACAATATGGGAAGGTTCATGATGCCAGGGTTGTTCACCTTTCAGGAGTCTATATTCATAGAAAGATAGTACATTGTTCCCACCAAATAACATTATCATGTACAGTATTATTGTTCCTATTATTATTCTGAGGGATTTCACATACCCCCTTTAGTTTTTCATTATGAAACTTTACCCTGATTTTTAGAGGCCATGGCAAAAGACAATGTAATTATAGTCTGAGCAGGAATAAAGCGGTGTTGAATATGCTCTTGGCACATTGAAATTCTATTAGAGATATCTACAGATCAATTTGGATCAATGCTGCCCACATAACTGTGGCTTACTGTGCTATTCACAATCCTTATGAAGAGGGAGGTCAGACTCAGGGGATATTCTGTGGCTTGGTAGAAGAGGGAGTGGCTGGGGTATTCTAAGCCCCAACAGCTCTGCACACTACAATGGTCTATAGCAGAAGTTCCCAACCTACATCCCTTAGGCAGTATGCAGTATTCCCCACTCTAGCACTTAATGTGCAGAAGTTGGGGGCCCACAAAAGACTTTTAAATACTCTGACACCAAAGGCTTCTGCTTAAAAAACTCCCCATGATCACAGATTTTCTGATTTTCGGTGGTATGCTGCCACTACCCAACTGCAAAAACCCCTTGAAAATCCATGAAGATGCACTTGGGAATTTCTTTCTATAGAACATCCTCTCTCAAGAGAGAGCTTGAAAACAAGCTAATAACTGACCTGGCAGGTTTAGGCATGTGCACACAAAACCTCGTGCCTTCTAATACATAGGAATCAGGAAAAAGGTGATTTTATTAACAAAAAAAGAAGATATACTTGGTAAAGGATTACTTGGTTGCTAGGTGTTACAGAGCCACTGAGATAGGCAAGATTAAAAACAGAGGGTATGTCTACACTACCCTCCTAGTTCGAACTAGGAGGGTAATGTAGGCATACCGCACTTGCAAATGAAGCCCGCGATTTGAATTTTCCGGGCTTCATTTGCATAAGCGGGGAGCCGCCATTTTTAAATCCCCGCTGGTTCGAACCCCGTGCAGCGCGGCTACACGGGGCTCAAACTAGGTAGTTCGGACTAGGGTGCCTATTCTGAACTACCGGTACACCTCGTTTCACGAGGAGTAACGGTAGTTCGGAATAGGAACCCTAGTCTGAACTACCTAGTTCGAGCCCCATGTAGCCGCGCTGCACGGGGTTCGAACCAGCGGGGATTTAAAAATGGCGGTTAAAAATGGCGGCTCCCCGCTTATGCAAATGAAGACCGGGAAATTCAAATCCCGGGCTTCATTTGCAAGTGCGGTATGCCTACATTACCCCGCTAGTTCGAACTAGCGGGGTAGTGTAGACATACCCAGAGAGAATTGCTTTTGTAGAATTGAGTTAAAAAGGTATAGTGTACGGGGTAAGGTAGTACATGGGCTTTCCATAGAGGAGTCCAACAAACACAAAAATAATGGATCGTGTCTGACTAAATATTCCCTGTTCTACTCATGTATCTGTTGTTCCAAGGTTTAATCCTTCCCAAGGCATATATATCTCTGGAAATTCCATGCATTGCTCATGGCTTAACTCATATCGCCCATCTTGGCTCTAGTCTAACAAAGACTGTAGCAGGAAGGTCCTGCTTTTTAATACAAAATCCACACTCTGTTTTCATTGACTCTCCTGATCCCCTGCCAACACTTCCTGGAGACTCTTAAGGACCCATTTTCTGTGGGGTTAACACTCACGCTAATGCTCTTTGACGGAAGAGGCAATGCAAATGAAGCAAGGATTAGCATATTCTTACACTTCATTTGCATAATCTCTTTCGGTACGTTTTTGCACAAGAAATTTTTGCACAAAAACAAGCAGTGTGGACGTTTCCTTTTTGCGCAAAAACCCCTTTGTGCACAAGATCCTTATGCCCCCGGCTTAAGGATCTTGCGCTAAAAGGGGGTAGCATAAGGATCTTGTGCAAAAAGGGTTTTTTGCGCAAAAAGGAAACATCCATACTGCTTGTTTTTGCACAAAAACCTCTTGTACAAAAACACACTGGAAGAGATTATGCAAATGAAGCGTGAGAAAATGCTAATCCGTGCTTCATTTGCATTGCCTCTTCCGGCAAAGTGCGTAGTATTACAGGCAATTTAGTTAACTAAATGGCTGGAATGTCTAGAAAATAATAGCACCCCTCCGTGACAAGATGTACCAACCTCACACTGGGCCTGAAAGAGTTAACCGCAGCAAACTGGCTGAGAGAGCCATTCCCCGCCCCCCAGCCCAGATGGGCATGCTCTAGCTGCAGGAATAGTGTGCTTCCTTTTACATTAAAATCAGAAATCCCATTAACATCATTGGGAGTTCAGTTAGTTCCATTGTTTATACAAAAGTATTTTCCCATAGGGATTTCTTACATTTTTTTGGATTTGAATCAAGTAACCTTGACTGATGAAAGGAAGGTAGAAACCCTGGATTATTGTTTTACTAGGCCTGCTTTAATCTATTTCAGTATCTTGCTTTGTCAGCTCCTTTACAATTTTTCTCAATCCTATTAAGGCTGTCTCTATTTGCAAGCTCTCCTTCATGACACAGATACATTATTCATTTATATATCATTAATTTCTGAAAGGAAAGGCTCTGCTTTGTATGCAGAAAGAAAATCAGAAATTTACTATGTTGTAGTTATCTGGGTCAATAATTCAAGGAAAATGTGAAATTTTATAAAATATATCCAATTACCCCATTTTAACTATAGTGTTGAGACTAATGTTTCAATCCAATTGCCTGAATGGCATGAGTAGTCCATTGACTACCTACATGCAAATAGTTAAGCAACTGTGTAAACCTTTGCAGGTTTAGAGCTAGATTAGGTAACTGGGATAACTCACCCAAAGTTAATATCCACATTAGCTCTACAGGAGTAAAGGGGCAGGTTTTTTAACTTTTGTAATGGTCTCTTGATATACTATAGCTTTTACGATAGTAATTTTTACTTAGAAGTAAGTGAGCATGACTCACTGTCACTCCAAACTTTTGTGACTTCACTTTTCTGGAGTTTGTCTCCCTTTTGTTAGGACAGAATAGCCACAGTGACTTTGATGCAATAACTACATCAAGTTTGCTACAAAGTAAATTAAACCATATAATATCAGATCCCATATTTAAATTGTGCATCCTGCTCTGCTGCTATCAAGCACACTGCCAGTGCTACTGATCTATTATGCGCTGTCTTCATTTCTACTATACTTAGCATTTTTGCTCTTGTAGCTTTTGTGTCCAGAACTTAGGAATGAGTGGCTAAATGAAACAGCTGAAACAGAACTGAGTTTGCTAGTTGTGTTTTCAGGTTTTATTGCTTCTTAATATTGCTGTTAAAAAGACACACCACAAAAGCAGTTTTCCCCCATTAATCCTGGAATTGAAATGGAGTGAAGGAAGGAAGTTTATAAAAGAATGAAAGGGTTTGTTACAAATTTGCCATCAAGGAGGGCCAGTCACAAAGAATGCTAATGTTTACCAACCAATCATCTACCAAAACAGCCCGATTTTAGACATTAAAAGGTAAGAACAGAAAATATTATTTGATGGGTAATATCTATTTGGATGCGAGACAAATTCTATAGATTTGTTAATAAATGCTGCTGGCAACTCTGCTCTAGATTATGTGGTTACATTATTCAGTACTTTGTATTTAAATAATTACTATTGTTTTGGTTGTTTTTACATTTATTATTAGCTCACATTTCTTTATATCGGTTTCTTTTTCTGGAGCTATCCCTATAAGCACCTTAAATGCTTTGGATCATCAGTCTCTCTTACAAGAGACTTTTTTTTTTCTTTTCATAAGTTGATGGCACTATTTCCTTATATAGTTCTTGGACACTGAATATGGTCCAAACTTACCCATTCCTGGAATTTGCCTGAGAAGTTATCATAATGATTATTTTCAAAATACACTCCAATGGGGTATTTTGAAGAAATCAAAGGCAAAAATTAAAGACACCATTCCAAATAAATTATCACTCTGAATAATATGAGATATTTGTAATTGATATAACTTAACTAGCAAATTGCAGTTTGCATCAATAGTTATCAAAACGATTCTTTTCAAAATACACTCCAACTGTGATCCCAGGAGCTACTGCCCCCCCATATCTTCTGAACATGAAGCTCCTTTAAACTGATTTAGTGATATAATTGTGCTAATAAGAGAAACAGTTTGTTCCTAAATATTTGAAGTTTGTTTTGAAGATTTACATTTAACATTAACAATGAACTATGCATATTTTATAGTAAGACTCTCCATTTAAAAGGGACATATTTAAAATTTGAAGTATAATTCTCGGCTTTGAGGCAGAAATCAAAGACACTACTCCACATAAATTATCACTCTGAATGAGATATTTGTAATTGATATAGCTTAACTAGCAAATTGCAGTTTGCATCAATATATTTTAAAAATTAAAGCATTGGATTTTATGTGAGTGGCACAGTTTAAAACAAGAAAAACAAGATTTGGATTTCAGTTGTGAAATCACTAAATAATAAAGCTAGTATATTCTTATGATTACATAACAGTGGCAACAAAGTGAGTCACGCTATTGGTGTGTACATGCTGCACCCATTTTGCTCATTTGACATATGCAGAAAATTCCTATGGCGTAAAGCATTTCACCTGCATAGAGCCTGAGTAAAAACATCGCAACAGGAAACCAGGGCCTAAAACTGCAGCACATCTCCCCTTTTACCACTGGTACATTCAATGAAGTCACATGGCCTTTCCATGCCAGTTTTGGGGGATGTTTTCTGAAAACTAGTCTCTCCCCAAGCTTACTCCCATCAATGTCTGTGGTGCAGAGCGACAACCCAGGCCCTTTATTTTGCATTCCAGAGGCAAACAGGTCCTCTGCCTTCATACCTGCTGTACCCTTGTGTTCTACCCTATGTGAGACTGATCTTTTCATAATGGCTTACTTAAAATTTAAGATATTAAAACTGACGTGTTCAGTCTGAAATCTGCTGCTGGGGATCCTAATGTTTTTGCCACCTACTCTCCTTGAAAGTGACATCATTCATACCTGAAACCAGCAAGACAGGGGTGCAATCCTGCCCTGCCACACGGATTTCAAGGACAAAACTCCCACTGCTTGCCAAGGGGGTGGGATTTTCCCACTACTCTTTGAGGGATGGTAAATGCGTTGGGGCCCACTGCGGACAGACGAGGCCATGTGAGGAATCATTCCGCTCAGGGACGGGAGCATGAGAACAGACTGTAAGTGTCCACTCCGGGACCCCGCCCAAACAATGCACGTGTCCCTCTGAGCGGGGAAGGGAGGCATCATCCCCCGACAAGCCAGGCGGAGGCGAGAAGCTGCCCTCTGGGTTCCCCTTTGCCCTCGATTCCCCACGCCCCGTCACTGTGACACCACAATGAGGCGGGCAGGGTTCTGGCGGCAGCACCTGGGCTGGGAGTGGCTGAGGAAGGTGGGGAGCGGAGCGAGCGGGGAGGGGCGCTTGCCAGTGCAGCGCCGGGCGGGACGGGATGAGGCAGTGAGGAGACTCAGCGCTCGGCCAGACCGGGTAGCATGGGGGAGCCGGTGATGGCGCCAGCTCTGGAGACCTGCCGCGCAGGTCAGTCTCCGCCCCGCCCAGGAGCTGAGCGGGAGGGGGGCAGTGCTGGGCCGTCGCTGGCTGGTGGTCTGAGGAGACGCAGCCAGGTGGCCCTGGCCGGGGGCACAATGGGAGCCCTGAGTGGGCAGACGGCTGGGGAGGCAGCGGGCTGGGAGGGAGGGAGCAGCCTGGAGAGGGGCTGGTCAGCTGGAAGAAGGCGCTGCTGCGAGGAGTGGAGTCCGCCCTGGGTGAACGGCAGTGAGGTGTGGTGTGTATTGCTCCTGGGGCGAACAAAGAAACACCGTGTGGCTCTAGGGCAGCACCTAGCGCTGGACGGAGGTCTGTTATGCACAGCTTGTAGCACTGAGGCACCAGCATACCACTATCAACACGCAAAACAGTGATACAGCCGGTGCCGCAGGAGGGATTGCACAGATTGCAAAACCTTGTGCAGAGAATTTAATTTGATGTTTGCCTCTATCGCAACTCTTCTTGCAGTATTTCCATAATTTAAACACACACAGTACAAAGTACTACACAGCAGTAGTTAGCACGGGTCTCTGAGCCTGAGTGGGACTTTTGGTTGCTGCTACAATAGTCATAGATTTCAGAGAGGTTAGAGGCATGTTAGTCCATTTCAGCAAAACAACAAGGAGTCTGGTGGCACCTTAATAACTAACAATTTTATTATAGCTTCAGAGGGGTAGCCGAGTTAGTCTGTAAGGGTATGTCTACACTAGCCCCCTAGTTCGAACTAGGGAGGCTAATGTAGGCATTCAAACTTGCAAATGAAGCCCGGATATTATTGGTATGTGCCCGTCCGGTCTCCTCCTCCTGGAATGAGGTGTAACAGGTAATTCAAACTAAGGACTTAGTTCGAATTACCATTTAACTGCCACGTGTAGCCGTGGGCAGTTAGTCCAGACTAGTGGCATTTAAAAATGGCAACCAGACGGGAACATGCAAATAAAGCCCAGGATATTTAAATTCCAGGCTTCATTTGCAAGGTCGAATGCCTACATTAGCCTCCCTAGTTCGAACTAGGGGGCTAGTGTAGACATACCCTAACAGGAAAAACTTAAAAACAACAAATAGTCTAGTAGCACCTTAAAGACTAACAAAAATGTAGATGGTACCATGAGCTTTTGCGGGCACAACCCACTTCTTCAGTTGCAACTCATTTGGTCAGATGCATGAAGTGAAAGAAAAAGAAACAGGTGATAGTGAGACAGAGATGGGAGTGTTACATCAGAGCTAGTTCGATCAGGGTGGATGTGGATAAGAAGGTGAGAATACCTAAAGGGGAAAGTTACTTATTGTAATGAGAGAGCCATTCCCAGTTCTTATTCAGATGCATTCTAATGGTGTAGAATTTGCATATGAATTCCAGCTCAGAAGTGTCACATTCCAGTCTGGTTTTGAAGTTATTTTGCCTAAGAATGACAACTTTCAAGTCTGTAACTGTGTGTCCAGAGAGGTGAAAAAGGTCTCCCACTGGTTTTTGTGTGTTACCTTTCTTGGTATCTGATTTTTGTACATTTGCGCAGAGACAGTCCCCATTGTCCAATGTAAATGGCACTGCTGGCACATGATGGCAGCAGTGAATGAGCCTTTGAAAGGCTGATATGGTTACATCCTATGATGGTGTCACTAGAGTAGAAGTGTGGACAGATTTGGCAACTGGGTTTATTGCAAGAATTGGTTCTTGAGTTACTGTTTCTGTTGTTAAGTGTGTGGTTGATATGTGTTTCAGGTTAATGCTCTGTTTGTAAGAGAGGACTGTCCTGCCTCCCAAGGTCTGTGAGAGTGAGGGATCATCATCTATCCTAGTTTGTAGGTCAGTGTTTCTCAAACTGAGCTGTAGCCCCACTTTGAGAAAGCTGCTAATGGGCTGCTCCAATTTGTTTACTTAATGGCTCCGCAACCATAGATCCTTGCATCTCCCATTGGCTGTGGTTCACCATTTGCAGCCAAGGGGAACTGCGGTAAGCAGTGACCTGGACAACTGAAATGTTAATGCCCTCTCTTCTGTTCCTGGGCAGCCATAACAACAGATTAACTTTACCAACATTTCTCTTCCCCTGAGACAGGGCACCCACCAGTTTATAAACACAGACCTTACTTCTGAATGCGATTTGCCTACCATCCAGTGCTGCTGATTCCCAAGATCATTTTTAAGGTGAAACAAGAGGGGACAAAATGATATTCATTGAATCAGCATGCGCAAGGTAGCCATAGTTCTCAGACTTGCCAGAATGGTCAGTCAGGAAGCTTTTACTCCTGCCTTTAGTGAAGGGCCTGATATTGCAGAATCACTGTCTTGTGTCACACCCAACGATTAGTCATTATACTTCACATTCTGGTTCCTTAGTGGGTAAATCTAGAAGAAGCTTGTTATTCAGAATCATTCTAGAGTGTCTTGCTTAATAGTGGGAAACAAGGGCTATTTTCCATTAGAAAGTGGAAGCATTTCTCTGTCTGGGAGACTAGCCATGCCTCTTATTCACTGTATGGTTCAAAAGGTCTTGGACTATTTGTTACACTTTAGAGAGTCAAGTTTAACAGTTAGCTGCATAAAAGTGCAATGTCTGCATTTCTCCTCTATATTCTCTATTTCTAAGTGACATAGAAATACTCTTCCCATCTATTGGAGACCTTACTCCACAGCTGGATTTGAAACTGGTGTTGTGGAGCTCTTATGGGTCCCCATTTCAAGCCATTAGCCTGCAATTCATTGTTACACCTCTCACTGCTAAGATGATCTTTCTAACAGCCATCACCTCTTCAAGAAGAATCATAGAATACTAGGACTGTGAGGGAGCTCGAGAGGTCATCAAGTTCAGTCCCCTAGTCTCACGGCAGGACCAAGCACTCTTTAGATCAGAGGTTGGCAAAATGGCATCCACGGACCACATCCAGCCCACCAAGCAAGTTGATCTGAGCTTGAGGACGGGGGGAAGTGCATGAAGTCTCCTGCTCTGCCCCCACCCTGCAAGGAATGTGTGGCACTTAGAAGGACCACATGCTCTTGGCAGGGCGGCAGGAGACTTAGCGCACGCTCCCTCCAACCCCAAGCCCTGATTGGCCTGGCGGTTTAGGGGGGAGTGCACAAAGTCTTCTCCTGCCCTACCAAGGGTGCAGTTCTTCTAAGCACCTCATGCTCCTTGCAGGATGGGGGTAGGGTTGGAGGGGACTTTGTGTGCTCCCACTGCCCGCAGGCCAATCAGGGCTTGGGGGTGGGGGAGCGCATTAAGTCTCCTCCCGCCCTCCCAGGAGCATGAAGTGCATCTAAGTGCCACACCCTCCTTGCAGGGTGGGGACAGAGCAGCAGACTTCATGCACTTCCCCCTGCTCCCAGTCTCCTCCCTCCCTGCAAGGGACTCAGCACTTAGTGAACTGCCAGCTGCTGCTCAGCTGGGGTATGTCTACACTACCACCCTAGTTCGAACTAGGGTGGTAAGGTAGGCATACCGCACTGGCAAATGAAGCCCGGGAAATTCAAATCCCGGGCTTCATTTGCCAGTGCGGTATGCCTACCTTACCACCCTAGTTCGAACTAGGGTGGTAAGGTAGGCATACCGCACTGGCAAATGAAGCCCGGGAAATTCAAATCCCGGGCTTCATTTGCCAGTGCGGTATGCCTACCTTACCACCCTAGTTCGAACTAGGGTGGTAAGGTAGGCATACCGCACTGGCAAATGAAGCCCGGGAAATTCAAATCCCGGGCTTCATTTGCCAGTGCGGTATGCCTACCTTACCACCCTAGTTCGAACTAGGGTGGTAAGGTAGGCATACCGCACTGGCAAATGAAGCCCGGGAAATTCAAATCCCGGGCTTCATTTGCCAGTGCGGTATGCCTACCTTACCACCCTAGTTCGAACTAGGGTGGTAGTGTAGACATACCCCTGGTGATTAACTCTAAGCATGGCACTTCCTTGAAGGGTGGGGGCAGGGAGTGAGAGACTTCACATGCTCTCCAAACTCAGGCCCTGATTAACTTGGGGGCAGCAGTGGGGAACATGTGAAGTCTCCTCTCACTGCCAAGGGTATGAATACCTAGAAGGAACTGCCAGCTGTTCAGAACAGCTTGCGGTTCTCTCTAGGGAGGGTAAAGACTTTGTGTACATCCCCATCCCTCCAGGCCAAACAGGGTCTGTGGGTAGAGAAGCACAGAAGTGTCCTGGCCCTGCCCCTTCCACCTGAGCCTCCTGCCCTTCTGGAGCGGCCCAGGGCCACTTAAAGTTTTTCTGAAGTAGCCCCTGGTCAAAAATTATTGCCCACCCCGGTCTAGATCATCCCTGATAGATGTCGATCCAACCTGCTCTTAAATATCTCCAAGGATGGAGATTCCACAACCTCCCTAGACAATATATTCCAGTGTTTAACTACTTTGACAGGTAAAAAGTTTTTCCTAATGTCTCTAGCTGCAATTTAAGCCCATTGCTTCTTGTTCTATCCTCAGAGGCCAAAGAGAACAATTTTTCTCCCTCCTCCTTTTAACACCCTTTTAGATACCTGAAAACTGCTATCATGTCCCCTCTCAGTCTTCTCTTTTCTAAACTAAACAAGCCCAGTTCTTTCAGTCTTACCTCACAGGTCATGCTTTCTAGATCTTTAATCATTTTTTTGTTGCTCCTCTCTAGTCCTTCTCCAATTTCTCTACATCTTTCTTGAAATGTGGTGCCCTGAACTAGAGACAGTACTCCAATTGAGGCCTAATCAATGCTGAGTAGAGCAGAAAAATGACTTCTCGTATCTTACTCACAACACTCCTGTTAATGCATCCCAGAATCATGTCTGCTTTTTTTTTTTTTTTTTTTTTCAACAGTGTCACATTTTTTTAAACACTCCTGTTAATGTATCCCAGAATCATGTTTGCTTTTTTTGCAACAGTGTCACACTGTTGATTCATGTTTAACTTGTGGTCCACTATTACCCCTACATCGCTTTCTGCAGTACTCCTTCCTAAACAATCACTTCCCATTCTGTATGTATGAAACTAATTGTTCTTCCTCAGTGGA